GATTTAGAGGAAAGGATTTTTTATTTTTTTTATTTTTTGTTATGTTAAGTGCTCCCGGAAGAGATGAGTTTTCAGTTGTCTTTTGAATGTTGTCAGGGATTCTGCGTTCTGGATGAGGGTGGGGAGATCATTCCACCAGCATGGAACCGTGAATGAGAATGTTCTGGAGAGTGATTTTGTGCCCCGCTGTGATGGTACTACTAGCCGTCGCTCATTGACCGATCGTAGGCTTCTGGTAGGGATGTAGACTTGTAGTAGTGAGTGGAAGTAGGAGGGAGCTGAACCTGTGGTCAATCTGTAAGCAAGCGTCAAAGCCTTGAACTTGATGCGAGCAGCGAGTGGTAGCCAGTGCAGAGAGATGAACAGAGGAGTGACGTGGGCCCTTTTGGGCTCGTTGAAGACAAGACGAGCTGCAGCATTCTGGATCATTTGTAGAGGTTTAGTTGCACATGATGGAAGTCCAGCCAGAAGAGCATTGCAGTAATCAAGCCTAGAAATGACCAGGGCCTGGACGAGAAGTTGTGTTGCATGCTCAGTTAGGAAAGGCCTGATCTTCCTGATGTTGTGCATAGCAAACCTGCATGATCGAGCTGTCTTTGTAATGTGGTCTGTGAAGGTCAGCTGATCATCAAAGATTACTCCAAGATTTCTGACTGACCTTGATGGGGTGATTGAGGAAGAATCTAGCTGGATAGTGAGGTCATGCTGTAGAGACGGATTGGCAGGGAGGACGAGAAGCTCAGTCTTTGCCAGGTTGAGCTGCAGGTGATGTTCCTTCATCCATGCCGAGATGTCCGCCAGACAGCTTGAGATCCGTACAGCTACTGTGGGATCATCTGGTTGAAATGAGAGGTAGAGCTGAGTGTCATCAGCATAGCAATGGTAAGAGAAACCACGTGCCTGTATGATAGGTCCCAGTGATGTGGTGTAAATGGAGAAGAGGAGCGGTCCGAGAACTGAACCCTGGGGAACTCCTGTGGTCAGTTGATGTACTTTGGATACCTCGCCTCTCCATGTGACCTTGAAGGACCTACCTGTGAGATAGGACTCAAACCAGTTGAGGGAGGTTCCAGTGATGCCCAGTGATGAGAGGGCGGACAAGAGGATCTGATGATTCACAGTGTCGAAGGCAGCAGACAGGTCCAGTAGAATGAGAACTGATGATTTGGTATCCATATATTTAGTCGTGACTTACATTCTTTAATTTTACTTTCTACATTCAGAAGAGTGCTCAACCCATAGATGTCCTTTATTATGGACATCTATGGCTCAACCGATGGATACTCTTCTATCCCAGGAGGCCACGCGAGAGCATACGTCATTATCAAACATCACGGAGATCAGCGACGCCGGGGGTTTTCAAATGTGAGTAAACACGGTTCCTTATGTGTTAAACTACTATAGAGTAAACGTTTTAACTGTTGAAGGTGTAAAGTAGTTAGACAGTATAGTTGTGATTTTGCTGTAAAAACATGTTTTGTATAGCTAGCTAACAGGGGAGCTCTAAGCACACGTAACGTCTCTAAAGTGGATTAACATAACCATATACATCTTAAACACGCTTATTTAAAATGTCTATTTACATCTGAAAGGGAAATATTGTAAGTATTGACATATTGCAGATGAGCACATCACAACATGAAAAAGACATCTGAGTGATGTATGTGTGGCATTATTATAGGATAATGTTAATTCACTGTTGTCAACACTGTTGACATTAGACAAATGTGCTGTAAATAAACAAATCTATAAAGTAACTAAACATGTTTTTATTCAGACTGCTGTGAGCACTGAGGATGAGGAGCCCAGAGCTGAATCCTGGAAACGGTGGCATGGATGAGACGCTCCATCTCTCCATCTGCCCTTATGAGTCCCTCCATCTCTCCATCTGCCCTTATGAGTCCCTCCATCTCTCCATCTGCCCTTATGAGTCCCTCCATCTCTCCATCTGCCCTTATGAGTCCCTCCATCTCTCCATCTGCCCTTATGAGTCCCTCCATCTCTCCATCTGCCCTTATGAGTCCCTCCATCTCTCCATCTGCCCTTATGAGACCCTCCATCTCTCCATCTGCCCTTATGAGTCCCTCCATCACTCCATCTGCCCTTATGAGTCCCTCCATCTCTCCACCTGCCCTCATGAGTACCTCCATCTCTCCATCTGCCCTCATGAGTCCCTCCATCTCTCCATCTGCCCTTATGAGTCCCTCCATCTCTCCATCTGCCCTTATGAGTCCCTCCATCTCTCCATCTGCCCTTATGAGTCCCTCCATCACTCCATCTGCCCTTATGAGTCCCTCCATCTCTCCATCTGCCCTTATGAGTCCCTCCATCTCTCCATCTGCCCTTATGAGTCCCTCACTCCATCTGCCCTTATGAGTCCCTCCATCTCTCCATCTGCCCTTATGAGTCCCTCCATCTCTCCATCTGCCCTTATGAGACCCTCCATCTGCCCTTATGAGTCCCTCCATCTCTCCATCTGCCCTTATGAGTCCCTCCATCTGCCCTTATGAGTCCCTCCATCTCTCCATCTGCCCTTATGAGTCCCTCCATCTCTCCATCTGCCCTTATGAGTCCCTCCATCTCTCCATCTGCCCTTATGAGACCCTCCATCTCTCCATCTGCCCTTATGAGTCCCTCCATCTCTCCATCTGCCCTTATCGCCTCAGACTGTGATGGCAGTATGGCAGTAGATGTGGGGTTCAGCGCCTGTAAATACATGCTTGTAGTTTGAATAAAGATTTGTTTCATGTGTTGTTGAATTGTATATGCATTTGTTTATTGTGTGATGGTTACTTTATTTGTTCTTTTACTCATTTATTCATGTTTCTTATTGTTGTCAGTTTATAAAATATAATGATTTAATGTATGCATTACTTCATTGCTTGACTGACAATTGAGATGTTCACGTGTATTCATGCATAACTCATATGACAAAACAAATTACATTTTGCTTGTTTTATTAAATTATATCATTTTTAGTATATAAAAAAAGTAATATAATTAAGTAGGCTATTGGTCAGCATTTAATATTATGGCTAGCCAGCTATGTTCCAGTTTAGCTTCCACCAACCCTGGGTTTTAGGTACTATGAAAGTAGCTCGGCTTTAATCGGTGTTCGTTGCCATGGTATCTTACGCTGCACGGCTAACCTGCTCCGGGGCAGGTTATGTTCTGGATTCAAGATCTCAGACTGAAGTTTGACCAATCAGCTGTGAGAAAAGAAACATATAGGTGACGCAACTAATTCCCAGCGTCTGTTCTCTGCTGCAATGGCTTCACCTTTTCTCCCAAATCCTGTGGACATCTCCGCGCAAATTGTTAGACGAGCACTTCGTAGAGAAAGAGTTTTTAGGGACAGACAAAATCCATTTGACTTTCCCGATACTTACTTGTATGAAAGATACAGATTTTCCGCGGAAGGAATGCCTTATCTTTGTGAACTTCTTGAGCCGCACATAACAAATGTGACTCGAAGACATGCCCTTACTGTACCGCAGATGGTATGTATTGCGTTGCGTTTTTTGGCAAGTGGTACATACTTGTATGCGGTCGGTGATGCAGAGAATCTAGGGGAAAAAACGGTCTGTCGGACCATTCGCAAGGTGGTCCTCGCTCTGCAGGGGGACATAAATAGCTTCATTGTGTTCCCTGGACATTTATCGACCATGTCCATAAAAGAGGGATTTTATAAAATGTTTTTTTTTTCTTCTGCAAAAAAGCACATTTCATACTTAGAAATATATAATGCAATAGTCTACAGTAGCTGTTAAGAATGATTTTAAATATATATTTTTAATTCCTATGATAGGATTCCCTAGAGTCATAGGAGCAATAGACTGCACACATGTTGCAATCTCCAAAGCTCTAGGAGAACATGAGGCAGATTATGTGAACAGAAAGTCCTTTCACAGCCTTAATGTTCAGGTATTTGAAAAATGTGAAGTTATTTTTATTTGCATTGAGATCAATCTTTAAATAAGTAACTAACAGATGGGACAATTATTTACTGTACATTTCATCTGCAGATGACTTGTGATCATGAATGCATGATCACAAGTTTGGATGCCAAATGGCCTGGCTCAGTGGATGACTCACGAATTTTCCGTGAGTCTATTTTGTGTCAGCGCTTTGAGGAAGGCAAGTTAAAATTGGTACAGTACACTTTAAAGTTTTAATTTGAAAAGCTTACACAATTTTTCCCTTTTCTGTTCTATGACAGGGCTTTTTGATGGCCTGTTGGTAGGAGATCGAGGTTATGCATGCCAGAGGTTTTTGCTAACCCCCTATCCTGACCCTCAGACAGGGCCACAAAACCGCTTCGATGTGGCCCTCAGTAAAACCAGGGTCAAGATCGAGATGACCTTTGGCATCCTAAAGGCACGTTTCAACTGCCTTAGGCGTTTAAGGGTGTCACCAGAGCGGGCATCACAGATAGTGGCTGCATGTGCCATTCTGCACAATATAGCCACTATCAGAAAGGAGCGAGTACCACCACAAAACCAGCTTCTCCCTGATGAAATTGACCCCATCACAATTGAATTGTGTTCATACAGGGTAACTTGGTTAAAAAAAAAAAGGTCACATACTGAGATCTGTTTTCTCCAGCTGTTTGATCTCTAATTTAATTTTTTTAATTTGGAGCCTCCTCAGCTCACAGTCCAGCTCCTTCAGCGAACAGTCTAGTTCGAGACTCCTTTTGTAAAGGGCCCTAACTGAGTCTGTTTCCACCTGAAACAATTCCACCACAAACAATCATTACACGTTTTCTGGAGGTTGATCAAATCACAAAAAGTGGCATGACTTTCTACAAACATAGGACTGACTGTAATTAAGGGTTTAAAGCATTACCTTGTTCACATTCCTTCTGAAGCCCATTGAGGTAGAGGCTTCAGTTTCTGGGGCAGGTTGTGAAAAATCCTACAATAAAAGAGATGTGTAAGAGCCAGTCATTTAATTATGACATTCAAATGTGTGCTAGAATAAAAAGCCCAGTGCATTCACCTCAGCAACTGTCTCTGAAGGCACAGACAGAGTGTCTTCATCATTTGGTTCACCCTATAAATTGAAGGCCAATTTAAATCAAAATTGTTATAAAGCAGGTTATGTTCATTGTGTTCTGTCTGGTGTACTGACCTCTGTGCAGGAGACTCTGTGCATGTGTGCTGGCTTCAACAGGGACACTGTATTTCCCTCTACTGTGCAGAACATAGAGTCAGCCATATTTTACTTTTTTTTTTAAAAAAACATTAGTAATGCATTGCACACACATACCCAGTGTCACTTGCTTAGAGGAGCCAGCACCAGGGTCAGACTGTACAGCACTTGCAATCCCATCCATAATCGGCCGCCCCTTGTTGTTACTCAGTGCCAACTCCTCCGCCACAGTGTATTCTGGAGGAGGTGGCCGGGCCGGATTAACCATTAGGGCAACCACAGGGGCCCACGACATATAAGAGGCCCTGGGCAGAAGGGGCGGAGTGGCAATCGGGGGAGTCGGGAGTTTCCCCGGTGGGCCGGTAGTGTTTCGAGGCTGCGAGGGCCGGTCTGATAAAATGTATCCATTGCAAGTTCGCCATGCGCACTTGTGGCCCAAGCGAGGGGAAGAAAAAAAATATTTTTTTTACATTTTTGATAACGGAGCGTATATTTGCACTAAGTGCCTGTGATTTTAGCAAAAAGACGGCCGTCATGGAATTGCTACAGTGGCGTAGGTCGTAGGGCGTGAAGAGCTTGAAAGCTATTTTTGATGCGCTCGAACCGAGTTCGAATCCGCCTTTTGCCGGACTCTCCCTTCTCCCTTTTCCCAACACAACACATGAGATGTAAAATGTATAACCTAACATAAAGGTCTCTAGCGTTATATTTTGCCAACGAACTAAAATCGAAACCATGATATGGCTTTGTCCCTTTATAAAACAGCACAAGACTTTAAGAATAGACATCCTGTGTGTGCTGGGTGATTTAAAGAAAAGTGCGCTCTTTGCTCACGCGATCAGCATGGTGATCTGGTGTTGTCTCCTAAATAAAAGCTCAAGGGTTTATTTCTTGCAAGTGAAGAAATTAAGACATAAGACACAATTTTATTTTCCTATATTAAAGTGTAATGTAGGCTAAAATATACTTTTGAAATATTCATTTTCATTTATAGTACATTTATAGGCTATATGGATTTTACGTCATAGGAATAATTATATAAATCATTATTACATTATTATAATAATTGTTTGGCATCCTAAAACATCATTGATAATGTAATGTAGACTGAGACTCTCATAACTAAAAAGATGTTTGAGCCCTCTTTATTGTGCCTGGTACACATTAATGCTTTTTCTTTGTTCAAGGAGCTGTTCATGGGTTGTAAGCTCTTAATTTTGATCTCTCAAAGAGCACGAGATTGATGCATTTAACCTTAAAATGTACAAAATTGTCTTGCGGGGGAGCATGCCCCCGAACCCCCCTAGAGGCACAGAGGTCCACCCAAACTAATTCCTATGGGAAAGAACGACCATTTATGAACTTTACTCCAGCATAGTACAACAAAGTTCCTTTTAAGTCAGTAAAACTGTAAATGCCATATTAAAATGTCCTTGGACAAATTATACATTTGGCCTGCCTAAGAGGGGGCCTACAAGTGTCACGAAACACACACAGGGGACAGAAATCCAATAGCAGTAGTTTTATTTAAAGGGCAATAGGGGATTATCACGCTTCCGGGTTTCATGGGCGGGATTTGTCAACTTTGTGCATGTCCACTTCCGACGCAATTCAACAATGGCTGAAACGAAGGCTAGATGTCACTGCTCTGTTCCACTTTGTAAATCTAACCAACAACGCTAACCCTACTTAAGTTCTCATGGATTCCCGACTGAATTGAGTATAAGGAAGAAGTGGATTAAAGCGGTTCGCCGGGATTAAGGTCCAAACTTTCAAATAAAACAAGGTAGCACGTTTGTTTGTAGCCGGCACTTTAGTAATTAGACTAATTTACCAGGGATGCCGTATAAATAAATTTAGTGTAGTCTGTCATCAGTTTGCCAGAGTGATCGGTGATTCAACGGAAGTGGCAGTGCACAAAGATCAATGAATGCGGAAGTGTATAAGCGTTGTTTTGAAGGCTGTAGAATGCACTGATCGCTATTACGGTTCTAAATCACCTTAGAGTATTAATACACAGTTAATGTCCAGTAACTAGGAGAGGAGTAAAAAATCTGAGCCAAAGATCAAATTCACTCACTGTATTGATTGATACATTTTCTCACAATGTCAACAAAATGTAAAACACAATAATCAGCGTAGGCCTACGTAAAATAAACAAACAATAAAATCAATGGTTATATTCCAAAGATACAACTATATCAAGAGAGGGCAACGAAGTGGTGATAATAAGTAAGTGTACTCAGTTAAGAAGTCCCAAGTATTCCAGAGGAAGTCCACTTGAAGAAGGGTGCAGAAACGTCGGTCCTCAGACGCGATGCCGTCTGGTCCTGATAGGGTTAATATGATGATGTTCAAAAGGGCCTGTATCTTCGTGTGCTGTGATGTTCAGTGTGTGTTCGTATGATGGGTTTATGTGATATGGTCAGCTGGACAAATGTAGATATAAACGTGTGTGGTTCTATAATAAAACAAACAAACTCAATTAGTTTCTGTTACATCTCTTACGATAAAAATGCTGCGTCATTATCACTTCACATGATTGAACGTGAAAGACATCACAAACTTGTGGTACAGGTATAATATAGCAGCTGTTCTTTTATGACTGAATAAATATCTTATTGATGCATTAAACAGAATATCAAACAATGATTATTAGACAAAATAAATGTAAGATAAGCACTTACAGTCTGCAATGACGCACGCGCGAGTTTTCACCACAGAAATCCAACAACCTCCGAAGCGATCACACAACATCAGCCGCCCATCACATATGAAATACCAAACTGCTCACTAGCTATATTGTCGATCTATAACTTTATGGCCTTATTTATGCACCTTGCTGCATTTACTCAATACAACTCGTCGCGCACCACATTTCTTCCTTCTTTCCTCCATCACGTATATCTGCTCTCACATCATTTTCGCAGAACTCGCGAGACTTCCGATTAAACTCCGCCTACTCGGCAGACGCAACACTTGAACAGAACAATACAACTATAATAATAAAATAAATGTGACTTAACCATGGCCTTTTGCACAAGCGTGATAATCCCCTATCCAAACTCGTAGTTATCCAGGCAGGGGTCAAAATCCAAAAAGGCAATCCAAGGCACAAGACAAAAACAAGAACGGGCAGATACAGACTGGAAGTGTGGTGACATAAAACAACGACTCCGTACACATACTAACACAGGCTACGTTTACACATAGCCGGGTATTTAGAGAAACGAATATTTCCCCCCTCTCCGTTTTCAAAAATAACATCGTGCACACACCCGCATAAATACGCCGTCGAGCGCCATCATAACTATGCCAAACCTATGGGCGGCAGTGTAGGGAGAAGGATAAACCCATGCAAGCCAATCAAAATCCTCAGAATCGACAAGAGAGAACCTAAAACCCCGTTTCTCCCAGTTTACACGGCAACACATAACCGGCGTTTTCAGAAATCTCCACTTTGGCCGGAGTTTTTAGAAATAATCGTTTTCTGTGATAAAAACGGCGTTTTCGTGTAAACGAGAGGGCAAAACGCAGAGAAATATCTGCGTTTTCCCATCGTGTAAACAGGGCCACAGACAGGGAATATATACACATATCTAACAAGAATAACAAAGAACAGCTGGGAACAATGATTACGGGGAACAGCTGAGTGCAATGAACTGATGAGTGACAGTGACAGACAGAATGCTGGGAAATGAAGTCAAATGTGAAGGACACCGTGAGAACGAGGACCTCTAGTGATAAACAAGGGAAACACAACCAGACACTGTGACAACAAGACATTGTGCCCAGGGCCCTCTGAACTCTTAATCCGGCCCTGGGTGGCCCTCCCCCAGTTTTCCTTATGTCACACTTTTTTCTGTTTGCTGCAAACAAGTGTTTGTGATTAAATGTTCACAAAAGTAATAAAAGGTTTTGGTAAATACTCACCGCTTTGAATTATATTTTTATATTTTGTTTTGATCTGCTGCCAAGAACGTTTGGAGTTGGGGTTGCATCTAAAAATCAATGAATATCAATCTTTCTTAGGATGTAATAGCCTATACATTCACACTTTACATACATCTACACACACACACACACTTATGTATGCATGTATATATTATCAGTATGAATACATATTTTAATTTTAGCATTTAATAAATTTTTAATATGATTGTCCTACTGTAACTGAGGTGCTAAGGACTGTAAGGTGCTAGCTGCTGCTAATGAGATGGAGCTGGTCCGGGTGTGCCGGTTAGAACACCAAAGTAGAAGGAATCCAGTTGAACAGATTTATTTATACAAGCATATGCAGGGGAAGAACCAGATCATAGAAGGTTGAACTAAACTGTGCTCTCTGCACACATATCAAATACGAGCATGAATACTGACACTGAGTGGTATCGTCTTGTGCTTTATGTCCATAGAAGTGGTCAGCATATGTGTGTGGTCTGTAACAAACAAAATAAAGATCTACTATAACAAACAATACTTCTTTCTTCTCACAATCACACTCATAACAACATAAATGGCATTAAAACTACTGGCTTCCCCCAAACTTCAACACCGCGTTGCCTTTAAATACAGTAGAACATGAAAACAAATACACAGCTTACATGATTACACTGTACTGGATGAGAACTCAAATACTGCTATACTTCACATTAGCATCCATTTTGTGTCATCACTCTTAACTTCTCTATACAGTAAACAACAAACAACTCAGCTCGAGTAACCTAGTGAAATTGACAAGACTCACTTTCTCTCTGGACGCACACAACTTCAAACACTCAAAGGAACAAAACGAAGATCATATAACGGCATTCAGGAAGGGAATTTCACGGCTCGTTCTCACTGAAGATAACGGCTGATGTCAGACTGGATCGCGCGCGCCACCGAATGAGCTGCGTTCCGCCAAAATAAGAGTCCCCGCGATCGGGAAGAAAGCGATCTTGTACATCCACATCATAAATCAGTGTCATTAGTGAGACTTTCTCACACACCTACATAAATTTACATTAATTGTTTAACTTAGCCTACGCATTAACGCAATCAGCAATCTTCCTCCAAGATTGTTCTCTTGCTTTGGCAGCAGATACAGTGTTACTGAATAATAATATCTTGCTCCTGCGCGGAAAAATATATAGCTGTCGCTCTATCCATATCGAACGCGATTGCTTGTTCAGTGTCGACGTCACTCTTTTATGTGCACGCGCGTGTGGAGTAATCATAGCTTAAGGATCAAAGCCTGAGTTGACAG